AAATAATGAAGACAATGAAATGATAATGAAATAGAATAATCTAATATTGAACAAATCAAATAAAGAATATATTGAATATATCATTATTGTTACATTAATATTTATTATTTCAATTATTAAATATTAATAAATTATTATTCATGAATATTTAATTGATATTTTACAATTTCATTTTCATTTTATTTAATAAATGAAATATTAAATAATAAATGAATGAATAATAATGTAATATATGAAATAATAAAAAGAAAAGATAAATAATAAAGAAATATGATGTATTTAATATATAATATAATTTATTATCAAATATAATAATATCAAATGATGATTTATTTTTATTTCAAAATATTTTGCATCAATAAAAATGTTGCTAAATATTTTGCATCATTAAATTTTGCATCATTAAATTTTGCACTTTTTTTATTTGTTTCAATAAAATTTGCATCCTTTATTTTTTTTCTTTCTTTTCTTCTTTTATCATCTCTTTTGTTTTATTACACTTTATCTTCTTTCTTTTTATATTCTCTCCTTTCTACTTTTATTCTTTCTTCATCATATTCTACTTCTTACTTTCTTTTTATTCTTTTATATCATTCATTCTCTTCTTTTTCAATTATTTGCTTTTTTCGTTGCCAGTTGAAAACATGAAGAAATACTTTTAAGTCATTAACATAAAATGAAACATTGATTAAATTAATATTTATATGAATTAATTCACAGTTCCAAATTGTTGCATAGCAAGTGTATAATAAAATCCTTTCAAATCCATTAATTCTTGATGTGTTCCTTGTTCTACTATTTTTCCTCTCATAATAACACATATTTGATCTGCATTTTGAATAGTCGATAGTCTATGTCCTACAATAATTGTTGTTCTTCCTTTTGATGCTTTGTCAAGTGCTTCTTGTACAATCTTTTCACTTTGTGTATCAAGTGCTGATGTAGCTTCATCAAGAAGAAGAATAGATGGGTTTCGAATCAATGCACGTGCAATTGCAATTCTTTGTTTTTGTCCTCCTGATAATAATGCTCCTTTTTCTCCAATTATTGTGTCATATCCTTCTGGAAGTTTAGAAATAAAGTCATGTGCATTTGCCATTTTAGTACATTCAATCATCTCTTCTTTACTTAGTGTTTCTCCTTCTTTAGCTCCAAGCATGATATTTTCTCCAATTGTTCCTGAAAATAATACTGGTTCTTGTCCAACTATTCCTATTTGATTTCTTAACCATTTGATATTCAACTCTCTTATGTCTTTCCCATCTAATGTTACTCTTCCACCATTTGGTTCATAATTTCTTTGGATTAATTGAATAGTAGTTGACTTTCTACATCCTGATGCTCCAACTAATGCAATTATTTCTCCTTTCTTAATTTCAAGGTCAATTCCTTTTAATACATGATGAGATGGTCTTGTTGGATAAACAAATTGAACATCATCAAATCTAATATTCCCATTACACTCAGTTGGACATTCACCTCCAATAGACTGACAATCAATATCTGGGATTCTATCAATTGTTGTAAATATTTTATAGGCTGATGCTTTTGCTGAAAATAACAAATTTAATGGTGTTGCAATCATTGATAATGTTTGTGATGCAGATAATACTGACATGAACACCATTAATACATCACCAGCAAATACACCTTTACTTCCTCCTTTTCCTCTAATGACTAATGAACCATACCAACTTCCAAGTGCATAAGATGCAATCATGAAAAATGTAATAACTGAAAATCCTAATCCAAGACATTGTCCTTTAATTCCATTAAAGTGTTCATTTTGTTTTATTTTTTCTTCATATTCTTCAATAAATTCATTTTCTTGATTTAATGATTGAACTGTTCTAATATTTCCTATTGTCTCTTCTGCAATAGCACCAGCTGCTCCAAACACATTTAATGCTTTTGTTTCATATTTCATTCCAATTATTTGGAATATTGTGAAAGAAAAGGATGAAAATGGAACAGTTGCCAACACAACTAATGCAAGATCCCAACATTTTGTAAATCCAATAACATACCCTGTAATAACCATTGAGATTATTTGAAAAATCATTCCAAATTTTGGACCAATTCCATCTTGATAATTTTTAATATCTGTTGCTATTCTTGCTGTCAATTCTCCTGATTCTTGAAAATCATACCATGTTGCGTCTTGTCTTAATAATGACTTGAAATATAATCTTCTCGGTTTAATTCCTTCTCTTTGTGAAACTACAAACAATGAAAATGTTCTCAGAAAACTCAACACCATACTTATCACTCCAAAATATACCATCTTCACAACTACTTTATTCACTGACTCTTTTACTCCTTCAACAATCATGTGATTAACTTCTTCATCTATTATTGTATTATCACCTGGTGTATAAATATAACTATTAACCATGTCTCCCATCAAAAGCATCATGAGTGGTTGCATTACTCCATTTCCTAATGAACTTATAAGTCCAACTAGTACTAAAATCACGTCAATCCAATCAGAATATTTGAAAAGTTTTATTACACTAACCTTTCCTTCTGTTTCTTGCATTTTCTTCTTTGCACAAATCTCATTAGGATCAGGTGTTACATTGAATATATTAAATGTGTCTGCTGGTTCACTTGTCAAGTGAATGACTCACATATATTTTAAATAGAATTTATAAACATTGAACCATATTATTAGATATTATAATCTTCTTGTTATATTATTTTCTTCATTTTCTTTCTTATGTATTATTTAGTATTATGAATAATATTCTATAAACAAAATGGTTATTATTATTTATTATTTTCTATTCTATTATTCTCTTCTTCTTAAATTTTCTTTATTCTTTCTCTTTCATTCTTCATTTCTTCTACTCTCTTTACTCAATTTTCTATTTTATTTATTTCATTAATTTGTTTTACTGAATTATTCTCTTATTCTTTATCATCATTTTATATCAATGTTATATATTATTCATTGTTAGTGAATTGAAATTAATTAGAACACTATTAAAATATTGTTTCGTTCACTTAAAATTGGCACTTCATTTCATTTTGAACTAAATATCAATTTCAATACTTAAATTATCTTTTATTTCTTCTTTCTTCATCATTTAATGTTGTGTTATTCATTATTCTTTTATTCATTTAATTTATTCACTTTTAATATTTGATTCATCTTCTTTGTTTCTGTTCTTAATTCTTATTTATTTTTCTATTATCCATTTCTTTATCTCTATTTCTTTTATACACATCTTTCTATTTGTTTTCTTTATAAATTCTGATTGTTATGTTTATCATAAATCTACCTCTTTATTGTATATTATTCTTTCATTATTTATTAAGATTAAGAATGTTTGTTATTCGTTAATCGACTATTTAATCATTTGGTAGTTACTTTCCATTAATTTATAATCTGACAACTTCTTCAGAAATTGTTTATGAGTGTTTTGTTCATCTCATGATTTTATTTCATTAATTTATTTGTTTGATTACCAATTAAATCTTTCACATATTTTCATTCTTTTTGAGCTACTCAAATAAATTTGATTCTGTGAATATATTTAAACTGTTTAACACATTTATTTCATCTCTTTATTCTTGTATCTTCATGTTTGTTTTAATTTGATTTTTCTGTATTTCCATGCAGTTTTAAAATAAAAACATCAACATTACTTATTATGTCATTTCACCACTTCATTCAATTAAATCAATGAAATTCTTTTGTAAAGAAGATATACAAAAACATTCTCACCTCTTTTAATACTGACTTTGTTTCACTTCCTATAACTTATCTTTATTATTCTCTGTTTTTCTTTTAAACATTCGGTTGACTTATTATTTCAACAAAACTACTCTAATATTCTCTTCACTTTACTCATTTATTCTTCTTGTTGCTCATTTAATTCTTTGTCTCCTCAACACTCATAATCTCATCACAATAATATTTCTATCCAATTCCATCTTTTGTTACTTTTCAACATGACTTTTGTGTAATTCCAACCACTCAAGACATTGACTCATCATTAACACATCTATTCTTCCTTCCATAAAATGTGTTTGATTGTTGAATGAAGGCAACGAAAAAAAAGCAAATAATTGAAAAAGAAGAGAATGAATGATATAAAAGAATAAAAAGAAAGTAAGAAGTAGAATATGATGAAGAAAGAATAAAAGTAGAAAGGAGAGAATATAAAAAGAAAGAAGATAAAGTGTAATAAAACAAAAGAGATGATAAAAGAAGAAAAGAAAGAAAAAAAATAAAGGATGCAAATTTTATTGAAACAAATAAAAAAAGTGCAAAATTTAATGATGCAAAATTTAATGATGCAAAATATTTAGCAACATTTTTATTGATGCAAAATATTTTGAAATAAAAATAAATCATCATTTGATATTATTATATTTGATAATAAATTATATTATATATTAAATACATCATATTTCTTTATTATTTATCTTTTCTTTTTATTATTTCATATATTACATTATTATTCATTCATTTATTATTTAATATTTCATTTATTAAATAAAATGAAAATGAAATTGTAAAATATCAATTAAATATTCATGAATAATAATTTATTAATATTTAATAATTGAAATAATAAATATTAATGTAACAATAATGATATATTCAATATATTCTTTATTTGATTTGTTCAATATTAGATTATTCTATTTCATTATCATTTCATTGTCTTCATTATTTCATTTATTATTTCATATTCATTTATTATTTTTTTAAAATCAAATAAACAATAATATTGATATTCATTCATCATATTAATTTAATATAATAAATATACACAACATTTCAGAATAAATAATGAATATTTAAGAATGGAAATATTGAATTATTCTATAATTTATTCAACATAAAATCAATAAAACATATATTTTGATAATATATAAATGAAATAATAAAGAAATATACAATACTCAAGAATTAATAAAAAAGAAATAAAAAGAATGAATGAATATAAAATTGATAAATAATAGAAGAAACAAATAGAAAAACAACGAAAAACAAATAATATAAAAAGAATAAAAATATATAAAAGAATAAAAAGAAAGTAGAAGAAGAATATAAAAGTAATAAAACACAAAGAGATAATAAAAGAAGAAAAGAAGAAATAAAAAGTGTAATTTTATTGTAAAAATTAGAAATATTCAATAATAAGTGTCTAATTTAATGATGTAAAATGATTAACAATATTTTATTGATGAAAAATATTTTACTCCTTTTTATGGTATTGTTCATATGTATAACTTCATCATGATGTTTATTATATAATCAATCATATGTGTTATGTTATTATAACATATAATAAGTGATAAAATATAAATGAAAATGATATGAATATATGATATAGAATATAAAACAAAAGAATAATAAGAATAAATGATAAATAAAAGGAGAAATGATAGTCAATGATATAATAATAAAATCAAAGTATAAAAGATAAAATTAATATTAATATAAATCAAAAGAGAATAAATATAAATTGAAAATAGATATAAATGGTAATAATATAAAAGATGAATAAGATGAATATTCAAATAAACAAATACATTTAAATATAAAAGAATAACAATAAGAAAATCTAAAGAATATAAACATAAAAAACATAAAATAAGAAGAATATAATAATATATATAATAATAAGAATACAATGATATAAATAATATAAACAGAGAATATAAATATAAAAATACGATAGATAAATAACATATAAATAAAAGAATATGAATAATAAAAATAAATATGAATAATCAAATAATCTATTTCATTAATATTTCATACAAAATGAATACAATTGATCATAAAATATAAACATAAATATTTATATATTCTGTATTTATCATATTTTTTATTTATTTTTATTTTAGGAGCAAAATATAATAAATGGAATATTCTATGGATGCAAATTTTTTTGCATCTTTTTTCTTTTTTGTAAATTATTTAGATGCATTTTTTCTTTGCTAATTTTAGTGCCCGAATAGAAATGAACATGATAAAAACAAAATAAGAATCAAAATAATCAAATAAACAATATCAATGAATAAATCATAAAAGACAATATATTTATATAGAAGATAAAAAATAAGAATAATAAATGATAAAAAATAAATCTAATAAATATTAATAAACCTGAAGTGTAGAGAATGAATTAACACAAATATTACAAAATAATAGAATAAAAGTATTTCAACATTAATGAAATAACGTGATTATTATTCAATAAATGATGTATTTACAATTATTTTGAAATATATATATTAAAAATATAATATTTAATGAAATAATAAATGAAATAAAGAAATATAAAGTCACATGTTGAATATTACATTCGATTCATATTTATAAAATAATTGAATTTCATTTCATTATTATGATATTGATAATTCTTTTTCTATTATTTCATTTATTTCATATTTATTTGAAATTGTTTGATTAGTCAAAACATAAAAAAAATTTAAAATATATCAAGAGTAATGAATTAGATTAGGAAAGTTAAAATGGTGATAAGAGATATTATCATCTTAGATATTGAACCACTAACATGACTTTCTTCACATTCTCCATATTTCATTTCATATCCTTCTTTACATCTATTGCATTTCATATCATCACACTCTGAACAGTGTTGATATTCTTCACAGTTGAAATAACACTTTCCTGATGTTAATGTATATTTATTACCACATTTACTACATTCAGTCTCATTACATTTTAAACATTCTCCATATGTAGAACATTCATATTCTTCACCTGTAATAATTTTATATCCATTGTTATATTCATCTTCAAAACATTCATCAAGATTATATGAATATTTGTTATTATTTCCATTACAATTTTTTTCATTAAATATTTCAATTATTAATTCATTTGTTGTAATTGTTGATTTAATACTTCCATCGTCATATGAAATACATCCAGAACTTGTAAGTATTGAACTTATTTTTTCATTTTTCCCACAAAGATTATCTTTATAAATATATCCTTTACTATTAATTTTATTTATGTTTTTAACACACAATGAAATTTTTGTTATAACTGTAAATGTATCTCCATTTATTCCACAGTCTGGTGAGGATGGATAATGTAAATTTAAATATTCTTTTCCATTAAAAACAACCATATCTGAAGACTTATCTGAATTTGTTGTACAATTTCCAACTTCTTTTTCTACAAATAGATAATTTGGCATTAAACAATATATACTTTCTTTATCCATTTCTTCTTTTCTACATATACCATCACTTGTTATTGTACCATCAACACATTGAATACATTTCTTATCATCACATCTAAAACATTTATCAAAACTAGAACATGTTGTTGGATAACATATTCCATTAATCATTTCTAATTTATCTAAACATTCATAACATTGTCCTTCTGAACATTTATTACAATTCATTATTTCTGTACATTTATTTAATTCACATATTCCTTTTTCATTTATTGTATATGTTTCTTTACATTTAATACATTTTTTATCAGTACATTCTGAACAATATTCAAATTTATCACATGTATCAATTTTACATGCTCCATCAATAAGTTCACTTGTTTCTTCACATTCTAAACATTCTTCATTATTACAAAATACACATTTTTCAAACATTGAACATTCTTTTCTTTTACATTCTCCATGTATCATTTCATATCCTTTATTGCATTTTGAACATTCTGTTGTTGTACATTCGATACATCCATTGAATTGTTCACATTCTTCTATCAAACATTTATTATTAAATGTATCTTTCCCATTACTACATTCTAAACATTCAGTTACTGTACATTTTGAACATCCTTTGAAATTGTTACATTCTACATCTTTACATTTTCCTTCTTCATCTATTCCATATCCTTTTTCACATTTCAAACATTCGGAACTTGAACATAATGAACAATGTTCATATTTTTCACATTTTGAATTTATTGTTTCTTCATTTTCTTCATTTTCAAGTGTAATATTACTACATCCTTTAATATAATGTGAATATGCTTTAAGATATACATATTTACTGTCAAATTGGTTTGTTTCTTTTAATATATCACATATTTGTTTTATATCTTCTATACTTATTAACTCTTCTTTAATCGCTATATCAATTATTGCATATTGATCATTTGTTGTTATAATTGTTTGTTTAGTATCATTGATAAAATATTCATTACTTTCTATTCTTATTAATTTCGTCTCTTCAATATATTTGATAATATCTTCTATCATTAATTTAATAATTTCTTTTGTTTCATCTTCATATTCTTTTATCATATCTGTTGTTATTTTTAATGGGATTTTTCTTGTTTTCTTAACTGTTTCAATATCAAGAAATCCAATTCTAACTGCTTTTATTGGTCCAAATATTTTAAATCTTTTTTCATTTTGTGTATTACTAATTACTAATTTTATTTTATATCCTAAATTACATTTTCCATAAATATCAAGTGTATATTCCATGTAATGATCATTTTCTAATCCATATACATATTTTGCTAGAGTTTTATCATTTGTTCCTATGAATGGTATTTCACTGTATTTAACTAAATTGATTAGTGGAAATTCTAGTTTTGGAGTTATATCAAATATTGATGTTGAAAATGACATTCCAACATATGGTGTAATTGTTAAATTTAATTCTGTATCATGTATACAAGGTGTTGGTTTAAATATTTTATCTTCTTTTGTATCTTCTATCTTTAGTTGTGCATAATCACAAATATAAGTACCATCATTGGTATTTATATTTGGATATGAAATATATAATGTATATTCTAATTCTTTTTTGATTGTTGTATCAAGATTAGCTGATCCTGTTATTTGAAAATCAAATGTAATTCCAGAGTCAATAGATGCATCAAATTCAAATGGAATTTTACCAAGTATAATTGTTAAAATATTTTTTAATGATATTTTAGGAATATCAAAAGTGCGTTGAAAATTCATTATACCATTTAATTTATTCTTAAAATTAAATTGCAAATCTAAATGTCCATTTATTTGTGCTTCAAATTTATATGGATTTTGAAATCCAATTTCAAATAGAATAGGTCCAATTTTAAAATTATTAACTACATAACAATCTTCACATGTTGTTGTTATTGTACTATTATAAATTGGTATACTATTATTTTTTAATATATCACATAATCTACAGAATTGTTTTTTAATATATGTATTATTTGTAGGACATATTGAACAATCAGCATTCATAATATTTATTTCTTTTTCTTTTATATTCCCATCTTCTTTAATATTCCATCCAATATTTTTCTCATATGGAATTGAAAATCGTTTTGAATATTGTGATTTACACGATTCTTCATTAATTTTACATTTATAATTATAACTTAAATATAAATAAAAGATTGAATTGTCAATAAAATCATTAATAATCATTGAATATTCATAATAGTCTTTCTTATCAACTATTGTCATTGTTTCAATATTATATTTTTTATCATTTATTTGTTTATTATATCTTAAAAATAATGGATAATCTTCTTTAATTGTAATATATGATTTATCTAATTTTTGATGTTTTAGTGTTTTAAATTTAAATGATAATTGTTTCTTATCATTATCATATTTAATATCATCATCAAATTCTATTACTTTTTCACTATTAATATAAAAGAAATCAGAATATGAATATTGTTTATCATTTCCTTTTTGATATTCAATTTCAATAAAATATTTTGTATCTTCTTTTACTTCTGGTACTCTTATTTTGATTTGTTTCTCGCTTGCTTTAACTCTTTTTATATTATATATACTACTTCTTCTATTCTTTTTTAATTCTATAGTAATTTCTTTGTTACTATTATCCCCTGAATATTCCCATGTTACTACAATTTCTTCTCCCGTTTTAAATGTTTGTCCTAATGTTGGTGTTTTAATTTCTATTTCTCCTTTAACTTCTTCATTACTAATTGTAAATAAATTTGATCTTTTTGTTGAACACCATCCCCCAATAACTGGAACATTCCAACAATTATATCTCATTTCAATATAATATGATGAACTACTTCTAATATTATGTTTATCATCTATTATGAATTTTTGTTCTTTATTGGAAAATTTGTTTATTTGTTGACTCTCTCCAATCGTTTTATCAATTCCGAATCTATTCATTTTTAATTTCATTTTTACTCCTTGTGTATATTTAAATGCATTTGTGTATTCCCATTTAACTAAAATCTCTTTTGTTTTTGTATAATCTATAAATTCTCCTTCTATGGGTGTTGTTACAATAAGAGATTCATCTTTCTCAACATAAAACATTGGTCCTTCTTTTTCTTTATATCCTTCCATCTTCATTTTAACTGTGTAACTTTTATTTTCTTTATATGTATTATCTATTTTAATACACTTAGTATATATTTCACCAACTGAATATTTATTATCTTTGAGGATATATGTTTTATGTCGTTCATATATGTTTTTATAAAAATTTATGAATGAATTTGTAAACTTTATATTTGTTATTGGTTTTTCATTAGGATAAACCTCAAAGATCATCTCCCCTTCAATATCTTCACTTCCTTTAATAAGACTATAACTTATACAATAATAATCATCATGTACAACATTTATAACACCAATTGGTGTTTCAATATTGAATGGCAATGTTTTTTCTGTTGTTTTCACTTCGATATATTCACTTCTTTGTACTACTTCTGTTGAAATTGAACTTATTTTAACTGTTGATGCATCAATATTACTTTCTTCTTTGAAATGTACTTTTCTAAATCCTTTTATTTTATTTTCTTTATTATATCCTCCATTATTCTTTGGATTATAAATTAATTTTGCCTCATTAAAATATTCATTAAATGACACTTTCTCTGTTCTAAGTAAATAATAATATAATCCATCTTTTTCATACATTAATTCAATATTCAATATTCTTCTATTTAATGTACATGAAGTTTTCCACATTTCATTAGACCCTGTAACAAGTGAATTATTACTCCATGTTTCAATATATTTATTGTTTGTTGAAACAATCAAATCATCTCCTTGACATTCAACACTTTCTATTGATTCATCAAAATCAAATGAATGAACATTTGGTTTTATATCAACAGAATATTGTAATTCTGTTTCACCATTATCACCTTTCAATTTGTTGTTAGTTCCATATTCATAATGATTTCCTCTTTGAATAAAACCATCACCTAAACGTGGTGGTTTTATAGGACGTGAATATACAACAAGAATTATTATAAATAGTAATGATATACTCATTTTTTTATCTAATGCTATTTTCAAGTTGAGAATTTTCTTTTTATATTAGTTTTAAACAGGATTTGTCAATAATTATTTCAAATGAAATGTAATCCGGAATTTAATTGTCGATATAGAAACATACGTTATTTGAAATAAATATATTAAAGTAATTAGAATTATTTTCTATTATTTCTTTTTAAATATTATTATAAATCTATTGTTATTTTATTTATGTTTTTGTTATGTTATTTTTATCATCAATTTAAAATTACATATTCATTATATTGTCACTTCTTTGAATATTTTTATTTCAAATAATAAAAAATAACAGCAATGTAAAATAGAAAAAGTGACTAAATGGAGCGTATTAATATTTTATTATACTTACCCCCAATTACATTCCATTAAAAACGATACAAAACGATTAAAAATACATTTTTCATTCTATTTTATTTATTTATGTAATTTTATTACGTTCAGGAATGTTTAAACATCATTCTTATTTTTATTTCTTTACTCCCTTTCTCTATTTAAACAAAATCTTATATTCATTACTTCATTAATAAATATGGGAGATTGGTATGTCAAAGGTTCAAATCTTGCAGGAGAACATGGATTGGTTGAACAAAGAAATTGTCCACAAGGAAGACCTTTTTGCCATCAACTTATTGATGAATGTATTAGAGAAGGAAGAACTTTACATGTTCATCAACAGGATTGGCAGATAAACTCCTTCACTTATGAGAAACTCTAAACATTCTCTAATTTACTTTTATCTTTCTTATTTTATTCTTTCTTTCATAAAAATTATTAGTTTATAATGAATAACTTAACTTCTCATTCTATTATTTTATTTATTACATTTTATTTTTTATTTCATTTCTCAACTTCAGCATTAAACATTAAAACAAAAGAATGAAAAGATAAATTTAATATCGAATGATGTTTAACATATAATTTATAAATAAATATATCACATAACATAATAGGGGGTAATGTAAATTAATAAAATAATCGTTTTGATTTATTCATTTATTTCTATTTTAAAATAATGATAACGTTATGAAAATAAAGTATGAATATATAAATGTAAAATAATAGAAAAGTGTATAAAATAAGAAAGAAATATTAAATACGATAAGTATGAATAACATGAAATAAAAAGAAAATGATAAAATTGATAATTTAGAACAATTTGGAACAATACAATATAATCTAGAAAGAACAAAAAGAAGTGCAGAAATGGCTTATCTTAAAGAATATTATCAACAAAATTTAGTTCAATTTCATAAAGTTGGATTAAAACTTCAAAATGCACCAGAAAATGAAAATGAAGTTGTTGTTGAATCTGATGTAGATTTTCAAATTGATGGAAAGGAATATCTTGTTTTTTTCAATAACCATTTAAGGGAAATAAATACAGTTTTAAATCATTGGTTAGAAATTGAATTTTCAGAAAATGGGATTATTATGCCAAATATTCTTAAAAGTGATATTAGATGCATTTCAGAGACGGGAGAGCCAAGTACGATAGAAAGGTTCTTAACTTCTTTAATTCCAATTTATGGACAATATCAAGAAATTCGTTGTTATTGTAATATTTTAATGAGAGCTTTATATTCAGAAGTAAAAGAAGATGAAGATAGAATCATCAGGATAGCATATCACATTTATAAAACAAAAGAGTTAATTGAAAAAATATGGAAGTGAAATACAAACAGGTAAAATATGTGCTATATGTATTGAAAAGAATTTCAATGGAAAGAGTGAATACATAACAAGTTGTGATGAAGAATTATATCAAGAATTAGAAGCAATACGTTATAAAACAATGTCATCTGACAAAAGTATAGATGAAAAATTTAATGATTTAAATACACTTTTGTATGGGTGTGAGAAAATAATTCAACCAACATTAAATGAAATTAGAAGAATGGAGTTTTGTTTTGTAATTAATAGAGTGAATTATTATCTTACAAGAGAAGAAGAATTATTAAACAACAAATCATATGAAGAATTAAAAACAATGACAAATCTTAGGAAAAGATTGAATCACATTGCTATTAAATACAAACATTTGTATTTAACAAATACACAAATTCTTCTTGGAATTAGAATAAGTCGATGTAAAATTCTTGTTGATAATAGAAAATATAAAACAATATTTATTGAAAGTTCAAATGTCAGAGAATTTTATAAAAAGATTAATAAAAGGTTAGATGCAGAAGTACAGATTCTTACAAACAAATATTCATTCAGTGAATTTCCAATTGAAAAGATTATAAAAACAGCACAAAGTTTAAACCTAGATAACATTCAAGATTCAATAGATAAAAAGAAAAAAGAAATCAATGAAAAAGAAGAAGAAAGAGAAAAGTTATTGGGAAACGCAATGACAGAAGTTGGAAAAGTAATCATAGAGAAAGTAGAATCTATAACAGACATTGCCATTTCAATTTATAATACTGACTCATTGATACAGCAATTTAAAATAAAAGATATAATAGAATATCTGTTTACACGAAATAAAATAGAAAAAGAAAATACAAATGAACAACAAAAAGATGATAAAAAAGAGAATAATAATCCACCAAAAACTGAAACTAATAGTAAAGAAAAGAAATAATTCAATCATCTAATACAAACAAACAAAATAATTCATTACCTTCACTTGCATTAAATAATACACCACTTGGAATTGCAATAAAAGCTGTCAACCCCACTCCAGAACAATTAGATAAATTTCATTCATCATTTAATAACTTTGTTGATGCACACTCAATAACCTATGAAATTGAATCATTTCAAAAACAATTAAATGTATTGGAAAAGTTCAAGAATTATCAAATGATTTTATCAACTTACTCAAACTTAGCATAGTATTGAAAAGAGAGTGGTTATTTGATGAGATTGATAACAATGAATATTTAGGAATTATTGTTACAGAAGATAATAGATATGTTGTTAATCCAGGAATTAGTCTTGAACGTAAAACTAATTATAAAATATATGAAATAGAGAAAGTACTGAATTATAATGAAGGAGATGAAGAATATTAATCAAACTAATAATTTGATTTTATTTTAATGTTTTTGTTGTTTATATTTTCTATAAATTGAAATAAATGACGATGAAATAATGAACTAAAATTATAACATCATTTTCACACATTTTGTATTATTTATTTTGAATATATAGTTTATTAAATTATGTTTTATACTTTTTTTATTTCATTTCAAACAAATATAACAAATGAAAAATAAAAATATTATTTTTATCATACAAATTATCATTCAGTTAAGTTTCATCAATTTATTCTTTATTTCATCATTTATTTATTGTTATTTTATTAAACAAAAAATACGTTTTAAATTATTCTTTCTTCAATTAGAGAATTAATGCGATTATTCCAATAATAACCATACTCACGTTTATTATGCTTATTGGTACTTCATTTGAACAAACATCTTTAATACATTTGTTGTTGATATAATCAAACATGTATCCTTCATCACAATAAGCTAGTACACATTTTGAACTCCACTCTCCATTATCTCCACATTCATATCCTCCATGTCCATGTTTGATATTAATTTCTTTATCACATTTACTATCTCTTTTAACTAATCTTTTATTCTTTGGATTACATTTTGTTTTATATTTCTCTATTATTTTATTTGTTTCTTCTTCAAATTCTTTTATCTTATAATTTGAAAATTGATAAATATTCACTCTTTCATCAATCATATCAGTTAAAAATTCTCTAGGAATTGTTTCATTGTATTCATAATTATATCTGTATGTTTCTCCAACACTTATTCCAAGATTATATCAATATTGTATTATCCATGGATGAGAAAGTACAGAAACAGAGCCAATAACAATTATTGGTGATAATCCTACTTCAAATTCTTCATCTTTACCATATGGATCACCATCAAATCCTACAAGTATAGCTCCTCTACATTCTTTTAACCCTTTTGTTACACATGAACATGCTGAATAACAATATGAATCGGTATAAACTACTATTTCTGTTGGTTTTCTTGGATGTTTCATTATTTTCTTTTTTTGGAAAAACTTCAATTGATGGCTGTGTAACTTTATGTTCAACATCTCCATATTTAATAATATTTGGTTTTGCATACCATTTTCTCTGTCTTCTAATACAATACTTATAAAATAACAATGCATCATCATCTTTAGTGCTTCTACACATACAACCTTCTATTTCTATTTCTTCATCACTACAACTTCATCCTTTCTCACTAGTTTTTGAACCAACAAAATATTCCATATAACTTTTTAACATTGAAGCTGTATTATAAGATTCCCTTGATGATGAAAGAAAATTTATATCATAGTTTGTTGTTAGTGATTTGTAAATCCATGTCCCTAATTCTTCACTTCCATCATTATTCTCTGGAAGAATAATTTGAATTGGATATTCCTTTGAATCAAATAATTCTAACCATTTTTGAAGTAAGTATAAGTCTTTATCAATATCATATCACTTAATAATAAGAGTATTAATATTGTTACTAGATACTTTACAATAAATATTATCATCTTTATCACCATATTCACTTCTCTTACTATGTAAATTTCTGTAATTTTCTTTGTTGATAGAAAGATTTTATCTTCTTGTTTTATTCATTGAGAATGTGATAATTTCAATAATCTGTATTGAAGATCAACATTTTCACCATTTCACATGTATTTCTTAACGGCATATTTGAATATTCTTTTGATAATGGTAATAAAAGTAATTTTCATTGAGTAAATGAATTATCAAGATTAGAATATTTAGATGAACTTTATTTCTTTCCAATGTCTCTAATAATTTCAAATGGATCGTTTCCATTTATTGATTTGACATAAGTATCTTTATTATTTTCTATTTGTGTTGTAACATCAATCTGCACATTTTTATAATAATATTTGTGAATAATATACATATGTTTTTCTTTATGAACCATGACTTTGTTTTATTGAAGAGATAACAATGGATCTTTTGCTTAAATAAATAAAATTTGAATTTGTGAATAAAAATCATATACACTTCCACTGTCATATTTATTTTATTTAATCAATCATCAATATTTACTTTTCATATTGATATAAACCAGTTGTTTGTTTCTTCAATATATCTTTGTATACTTATGATTCTAAATTCATTTTCAAATCATTAATCACTGATTATTTATTATCTTCTGAAAGTATTAATTCATCAACACATTCAAATACATTATCAACAATATCTACAACTGAGATATATTCGTTGTATTTATTACATTGCTTTCCAAATGAGAGTGTAATTAATAAAAGTATTGTATTAATCATTTAATGAATTAACTCTTTTAAAGTTCAATCTTAAATACCCATCAATACCATTACAGTTTTACCAACTATTTCTAATTAACAATATTACTTTCATCATTTTAAAATTGATAAAATAGAATTATTATTAAAACAATATTTTTACATTGGAATTATCCATTTTTATTGTATTTCTTAAAATATTAAACATCATTATTTATCGTCATTTTAATTTAAATACCAAAAATAGAATATTTTTAATTTCATTTATTGTTCTTATCACATTTTATTCTTTTTATTGAACAACAATAAAATTATTTCATTTCTCTTTTTTACTTTTCCTTTCATTACAATTTCAACAAAAAAAAAAAATGATAAAATAAAAACAATGAATTTTTATCACATATGAATTTAAATAAATACTGTAAAAATATTTAAAAAACCAAAAAGAATATTCATATTTATTCCTCACTTGTTTAATTATGAATATATTAATGTACATAATCGAATTTATTTTATGTTAAAATATACATGATTTAATAAATTGTATTCTTGTAATGTTTAATGAATATATGTTATTTCAAAATTAATAATTTAATTAAATACAATTAATATTTATGATAACAAATGAAAAGAATTATTTTAATGATATGTAATGTTAATAAAATTAAATTTATTTCAAAAAATTAAAACAATCGTATTCAAACATTAAATTATTTGATATTCATCATTACTTTTATTGAAAACAACAATGAAATAGAGATACTATTTATTTTTATATTTTGTATTTATGTTATAATGTATTTAATAATTCAATTCCATTCTTTTCAATGATATTTAATTTTAAAAAATGAAATACAAAAATATAGTTAATTCAATTATGTTATTTAATAAAGAAGACAGTGTTCAAGAGGCAATGAAAAAAACAAATAATTGAAAATGAAGAGAAAGAAAGATATAAAAGAATAAAAAGAAAGTAAAAGTAGAATAAGATGAAGAAAGAATAAAAGTAGAAAGTAGAGAATATAAAAATAAAGAATGTAAAGAGTAATAAAAGAAAAGAAATAATAAAAGAAGAAAAGAAGAAATAAAAAGTGTAATTTTATTGTAAAAATTAGAAATATGAAATAAAAGTGTCTAATTTAATGATGCAAAGTAATTGGTATTGTTTTATTAATGAAAAATATTTTATTATTTTATGTTTATTATTTATATGTATAATTTCATCATGTTATTTATTATATAATCAATCATATGTGTTATGTTATTATAACATATAATAAGTGATAAAATAAAAATGAAAATGATATGAATATATGATATAGAATATAAAACAAAAGAATAATAAGAATAAATGATAAATAAAACGAGAAATGATAATCAATGATATAATAATAAAATCAAAGTATAAAAGATAAAGTCAATATAAATCAAAACAAAAGAGAATAAATATAAAATGAAAATAGATATAAATGATAATAATATAAAAGATGAATAAGATGAATAAACAAATAAACAAATACATCTAAATAGAAAAGAATATAAATAAGAAAATCTAAAGAATATAAACATAAAAATAATAAAATAAGAAGAATATAATAATAAATAGATAATAAGAAGATGATAAACATAATATAAAAAGAAATAAATAACATAATAATAAAAGAATATAAATAATTAAATATGATTAATCAAATAATCTATTTCATTAATATTTCATATAAAACTACAGGTGATTATAAAATATAAACATAAATATTTACAAATCCTGTATTTATCATATTTTTTATTTTTTTTATTTTTTTTTAAGGAGCAAAATATAATAAAATGAAATATTCTATTGATGGAAATTATTTTGCATCTTTTTTCATTTTTGTAAATTATTTAGATGCATTTTTTCTTTGCTAATTTTCGTACCCGAAAGAGAGGTATAGAAAGAATATTACAATCAAAAATATGTAGATTAAGAGATTTACTTAATAATAAACAATATATGAAATTAAAAAGAATAATACATATTAAGAAATATGATATATACCATATTAAAATAAAAACAAATAAACAAATAAACTATTATAAATACATCAGAAAGATGAAAAGAATAGAAATAGAAGCAAGAAAGAATAATGGAAAAGAATAAGATGGAATTATAAAATGATGA